GTGTGGTGTGTGTGTGGTGTGTGGTGTGTGTGGTGTGTGTGTGGTGTGTATGTATGTGTGTGTGGTGTGTGTATGTATGTGTGTGTGTGGTGTTTGTGTGTGTGCGCGTGCGCATGTGCACACGCATGCGCTCCTGCTCTGCTCCCTCTCTTCTCGGTCCTGGTGCGTTCTCAGAACCCAGAGCCGCCTGGGGACGCAGCGCTCCGTTCCGCGGTGGCCTTCCTGCTGCCTGGCGTGACGTCCCTCACCTGCTCCAGGTGGAAGACGGCGGCTGAGATCCTCTGGACGCGCTCCACCGTCTTTTCAGGATCCGAAGGCTCGTCACTCCTGATCACATCCTTGTAGAGGTTTAGCTGCCATTTTACAGCTGGATCGTCGGACTGGAATAGAAGCATGTCCAAGAGGTACGCTAGGTACGCCATTTCTAATGCCTCCTCTACTGAGGGTTCGGAGTACTTGGGGGTCTCAGACTTCGCTCTCCTCCCCCCCTTCTGTCACCGCCTTCTGCAACCCTGTAGACTCTCCATAGAAACTGTTCATGCTACCCTCCATCGCTCCTACCTTACCTCACATTGTCCACCCCTTTTTCCTCTGGGCTACATTTTAGATGATTTCCTTAAAGCAATCTTCCAATTTATGAATTCTCTTTTCAGCTGTACGTGATGTTTTTGGGCCACAGACTAGATTTTAAATTTCAGTGATGATTTACTTTATATCACTATGAGTTTTTTCACACTCATAGCCTCTCCCTTATCAAAAATAATTTCCACTTATTGCTTTATGGAGGCTCTTGCTTTCTTATCTCTTTAAGTATTTAACTGTATTTATGTTTTAATTACTTTTTGTTGCTCCTAATTGCTTGAATTATTCTTTGTTGCATCTCTTGACTTTCTCAGAGACTCAGTCCTTACATGCTTTGCAACTGTTTCTATGAGTTTACTTCCAGAAGTTTTACTGGCATCCTGTCCTATATGACGGGAAGTAGAAACTCTCCAAATGCCGGGCACCGGTGGCTCACGCTGTCATCCTGGCTACTCAGGAGGCTGAGATCTGAGGATCGCAGCAAAGTCTATGAGACTCCTATCTCCAATTAACCAATAGAAAACCGAAAGTGGTGCTGTGGCTCAAGCGGGAGAGCACTCGCCTTGAGCTGAAGAGCTGAGGGGCAGCGGCCAGGCCCAGAGTTCAAGCCCCATGACTGACACAAACAAAAACAAACATCTCCTCTCCAGATGGCTTCCTGGCTGTCTCTGCAGGACGCTCTGTGGTTTAAATGGTTCAGGACTAATGTTATGTCTCTCACTTTACGTTTGTGCATAGGATGAGTATTTAGGTCTCACACTCTTCTTTCTTACTATTATTTAAAAATCTAGCTCCCAGCTGGGTGCCGGTGGCTTACGCCTGTAATCTTAGCTGCTCAGGAGGCCGAGATCCGAGGATCTCAGTTCAAGCCAGCCTGGGCAGGAAAAGTGTGTGAGACTCTTATCTCCAATAAACCACCAGAAAACTGGAGGTGGTGCCGTGGCTCAAGTGGTAGAGTGCTCGCCTTGAGCTGAAGAGCTGAGGGACAGCACCCAGGCCCAGAGTTCAAGCCCCATGACTGACAAAAAAAAAAAAAAGAAGAAGAAGAAAAAAGAAAAATCTAGCTCCCTAGACACGAATCTGGCCTGGAGAATTCTCCCAACAGTGAAGTTTTGTTTTTAGCAGTTGGAATGTCTTTTTGTTATATTTAAAAAACTCTACCATCTCTGTATGTTTGGGGAGAAAACAGGAAGGGTGTGTGGGGTGGGAATGTAAAATACTAGCTACCCATTTGAAGGCATAATGTTTCTGAGGAAAGAGTTGCTCAGATTCAGAGGCCTGAAAGAAAATCCTCAAGTTGCTTTTAAAATAAGAATTCTCCTGTTTTGGATGATGCCAAGTCAGACTCAAAATTATTTGGCTTCAATCCTGTCAAAGTGGGAGGTGCTGAAGTCTGAGTCCAAACACTCCCCCTCCC